ATTGTAGGATTTCGTTGATTAAATTTTTGTGTGAAGAATCAAGAAAAAAAATTGAAGTTAACCTATTCAATAATTCTCGAATACTTTGCGAACAATTGTTCTGATCGAAGAAATTATCAAAGAAAAATTATATCGAAGTCGATAACAAATTGTAGGATTTCGTTGATTAAATTTTTGTGTGAAGAATCAAGAAAAAAAATTGAAGTTAACCTATTCAATAATTCTCGAATACTTTGCGAACAATTGTTCTGATCGAAGAAATTATCAAAGAAAAATTATATCGAAGTCGATAACAAATTGTAGGATTTCGTTGATTAAATTTTTGTGTGAAGAATCAAGAAAAAAAATTGAAGTTAACCGATTCGATAATTCTCGAATACTTTGCGAACAATTGCTCTGATCGAAGGAAAATTATATCGATGGCAAAGTCGATATAACAAATTATAAGATTTCGTTGATTAAATTTTTCATATTATTTCATATCTTTCAATTGAATCGAAATTAAGAAATTTTCAAAAATATTCGGAATTATTCAACGTGAATAAATAACACGCGATCCCCCATATTCTCACCCCTCGTATCCCTCTGCACTTCTAATCAACCGCTACTATATCCCAAGCTGCGAGCAGTAGCTGATCGCCGCTCGTTCAAAGATTAATCTGCCAAACGATTAATCAGAAGTCGGCGATTATTTAGCGGGCGTTGAAGGAAAGGGCGTTTGGATGGAAAAAGTAACGAAGCCACTGATTTTCATCCCCCGTCGTCATAAATTTCTGCTGATTAAGGGCGCGATACAATGCAGGCTCGAGAGCTAGCTTCGTATATTACGCGTGTCGAATACGTCTGAGGCGCCGTTCTCACGGAAACCTCTTCCGGCGGGCGCAAAACGCGCGCGATTCGACGCGGCTCGAGAGAGAGTGTTGGCTGGCGCGCGTCGTTCAACCACTAGACTCTCATTAGCGTTATTCAACAATTATTCACAGGGATGCCGCTGTGTCGAAACGGCGTGTATCGATACACTCTGGCCCGGAAAAACGTCCCGTGACAAATGGAACAGATGTCTTGGAGGGGTCGTTAGGCCCGGGCCACTTTGTCACTCGATACTCGAATGTCACGATCGATGTTAATCATGTTGCTGTCGATCGTTGCTGACTCGTCATCCGGAGACACGGAGATGGAATACTTTTCTTCCTCATCGGAGGGTTCTGCGATTTCTTCTTTTGTTCCGGAATGGATGATCCCGTGGATCGAGGATCGATAGAAGAAATAGAAGAAATTAAACGTACATTCACGTATTTTCGTCGCGACTTTGATATTTATAGCAAAAGAAATTCCCAGCAATATTAAAATATATTAATAATATTTTACCTTTCGTCGTTAAATATCACCAGTTTTATCAATGAAGAATAATAACCCGATATCCGCGAGTGGCTCGAAATTCATAATTCCCCATTAATTGAAATAACGCAATCAATATAGTGAAATTTATTTGATCTACATTGGTCAAAATTCTCTCATTACCCAATCGATATAGATCGCGACCAATAAACCTGTACACAGTGTCCACGAGGGCGACGGATCTCGCGACCTCTCGAAAAGTCGGGTATCCGCGGGGTATCGCGTAAAAGGATTCACCAAGTCCATGGAATCCCGCACGGATCCAGCCTGGCCGTAGATCATTGAAACGTATATCCCAGCGATCGCTGGCCTGTACTTGCACGGCTTGGAAGGACACAAAGTAGATTCGAGATATCGAAGACGGTGCACTCCCAGTTCCCGTGGGGTCGTATATGGCCGCCGCTTGACTTCCAGTTGCCGAGTTTCGAGATCAAAGATTCGCCTACGCCCATTCCCCCGCGAGAGGGATCTCTCCTCTCCCGCGGACGAAGGACGCCACGAGCACGTTCGAGATCCTGTTTCCCCGCGAATCACTCGAAATAATTCGTCGACCGTTCGTGGCTGAAATCGATACGCCGATGTACGACCTAACTGTTGGACCCCCCCTCCTCCAAAGAAGAATTATTTCCTAGGGGGTTGCAACTGGTGACCGATAAGTCTCGACCGATCGCGACTGTCGCCCGGTTGATAATGGCCCTCGTGCTGCTGGGAAAGGAAGAGCTGGGGATCGTGATGCGCCCTCGTGATACTAACGGCCTTGGTTCTTCGAATACGTGGAAAGGTGATTCGAGATGAAAGCGAAATCAGAATTAGTTGATCGAAATATCGGCGTGATAATGTCGTAAGTTGAAGATGGAAGCTGTTTGAATTTCTTCTGTGAAGACTTGTGATCTTTGGCTCGGCTGAAAATTAAGGAAGTGGGTTTTTATGAAATTCTTTGGAGTGGATCAAAAGTAGATAGAGAATAAATGTGATAATGATAAATTTCAGAGTAGATTCCAATAAAATTCATAATGGGAATTGAATTGCTTTTAGTGGGAGTTATTATTAGAACGGAAAATTTTTTGATTATTTATATTTTGGACTTAATCCCTTTTCGAAACAAGCAAATCCAACAATTGTCCACCATGCTAAAGCCTAAAAACCATTTTGCTGTGCACAACAATATTTCAAATCCCAAGATTTGGCTTTCAAGTAAGATCAGAAGTTTGAAACGAAGGAAATCTCGCATTTCTGTCGCAGTCGGTAAGCCAAGATATCCGTTACGCGCTGATTTGTATAGGCCGAACGAGGAAGAACGTTTCATCGAAAGGAAG